GACTTTTGCTTTGAGCAGTCAATTATAATGTAAAGAAATCTAGATAGGAGAACACATCACTCCTATGTGCACAGTGCTGTTGTTTCCAGTGTCTTTTGTTCTTCTGTGTTGATGCTTTTTTTTATCTGATATCGCTTACCTCCACTTGAGGAACTGCCTTAGTGTTCGCCATACCATCATGAATTCTCTCAGCTTCCATTTGTCTGTAAAAGTCTTTCTTTTAGTCTCATTATCAAAAGGGTTTCTTTTCCCTACTTGGTGCATTTCTGGGCTGACACCTTTTTTCCACAGCACTTCAAAAGTGTTGTCCATTATCTTTTTGTTCCTGATGCGACTATACAGTAGTTATCTTCATTTTTCTGCATATATTTTTCTTTTACTCCCCAACCTGCTTCATTTCCTAATGACTAATTTTGGACAGTTCATTATGTTTAATGACCTCGTTTCATTTGCTTCATGTTTCTTCTGTTTGGACTTGGCAAGCTTCTTGGTCTGTATTTGGGCTTATAGTTTTCATCAAACTTGGAAAACTTTTGGCTGCTACTAGTTCTTTGAATATATTTTCTGTTCCCCTTCTAGTCTCTTTCCTTTTGGGACTCTAGTTACATGTTAAATTGATGGGTACTATATATCAAGACTGGTTCTGTAATTTTTCAGATTTTTGGATGGTTTTCTATTTCTTATTGTTTCTAAATTCATTTATCTTTTTGTCTATAATGTCAAGTCTTCTAATTCCATTCAGTGAAATGTTCATGTCAGGGTTTTTTCATTTTTGAATTTGCATCTGTTTCTTTTGACCTCTTTTTCATTATTTTCTTGATTTCCTTTTTCCTTTGCATATATGTTTTATAATAGCTGCTTTATAAAATCATTGCTTATTCTACTATTACTACTATTTCTATTGCCTACTTTTCCTTTTGTTTATGAGACACATTTTCACTCTGTGTCTACATCTGTTTTTTTTTTTTAATTGGATACTGGATATTGTAAATGTTATATTGCTGAGTGAATGTTATTGCCTTCTTTAAACCCTATTGAGGACCCCCCCTTTTTTTTTTCTTTCAGACACTTAAGTTACCTGTAAATCAGCTTAATCATTTTCAGGTTCATTTTATTTATTTTTATTTATTCATTTTTTTATTTGTGCATGCAGAACTGAGGTATAGGCCAGAGATGTAGAGGGAGAGAGGATTCACCAGAGCAGAACAGGCAGCTTGATGAAGCACACTGCTGAGGGGAGCAGCAGGTAGGAAAGGAGAGGTCTGCCACACCATGTGGATCATCCGCCTCTGGGGCAGGCGGCGATCGAACTCATGCTGAAGTAGCTTTAGCTTCTAGTGCTGTGCTTTAACCTGCTGCACCACCAGGGAGGACCCTATTTATTTATTTTTAAAGATTTTATTTGTGCATACAGAACTGGGGTATAGGCCAGAAGTTCAGGAGCTGTGACAGGATTCACCAGAGACAGAGTGGGGAGCAGAAAGGGAAGATCTACCAAAATACACTGCTGAAGGGAGCAGTGGCTGAGACAGGAGAGGTCTGCTGCACCATGTGGGTCACCTCGCTGGCTAGGGAGCAAACTTATGTTTGAAGTGGCAGCAGCAAGCTTTGTAATACTGTGCTTTAACCTGTTGCACCACCAAAGAGGGCCCTCATTTTAAAGCATTTTTATCTTTGTTTAAAATAGCATTCTGTTTAGGTTTGGATAGTTTTACCACTGAAGATTCTTCTGGGTTGTCTGTTGCATGAGCCTCATGCTCAGCAAACTCTCTATTCTGACTAGTGGGAGCATAATCAGTTTGCGGCTCTTCATGAACCCTGCCAAGTATTCAACTTGTTCTCTGAATTGCTCTTCACCCTGTCATTTGCTCTTTGCCTAGCCTTGGGGACTTGCATGCTGTGTTGAGCAGTTTGCTTTCATGCACAGATTCAAAGGGCTCCTTTGTGCTAAGTTTTGGATGCTTTCTCTTTGTGGCTTCCTCCTTTCTACTACATTGCTCTAAGTATTCTAGCTGCTTCCTAGAACTTTGATCTCTATCATCTTAACTCAGACACACTCGGGCTCCACTTGAATTTCCTGTCTCTGCTTGGTTGGGAAATTGCCGGTAGACAAAAAGAGTCCTAATTTTATTTCCTGCTTTCTGGGATCAGTGCTGCACTACCAGTTGTTTGGTGCCTGAAAACAGTTGTTTCATATATTTTATTTACTTTTCTAGCTGTTAGGGGTAGAAGGACAAGTCCTATAGCAATTACTTGCTTTTTTTCTTTATTCAATAGTATGCAACTAAGATTCACTTTGTTACATATGGGTATAATTTTTCATGGCTGTATTATACTCCCCTGTGTGTATATACTGTTGCTAAATTTTTCCTTTGCCTGTTGATGATATTTGACCTCTTTCTGGCCTTCTGGTATTAAAGGCAGATGTGGTACAAATATACTTGTATGTGTTTCCTGATAAATATGAGAGTGTAATTGCCCTAATATGTGTGAGTGTTCAACTTTAAATGACAATGTTAAAAAAAAAAGATCATGCCGAATTGTCTTCCACAGTAACTAAGAGAATTCACACTCCTGTCAGCAATGCACAAGAGATTCCATTGCTCTGTTTCTTCTCTAGTATATGGTATTGTCAGACTTCATTTTTGTCAGTTAAGTGTAATATGATGTCTTGTGTTCATTTTAATATGCGTTTTTCTGCTTCCTAGTAAGTTTGACAATTTTTGTACTTGCTTATAGGTAATGTGTTTTTCTGACTGGGTTTTGACCTAGTTGGGTATTCATTATTCTAAGTATAGCGCTAGAATGTGGAGGAATAAAAGAAAGAACTTGTCTTTTGTTTGTTTTGAAAACCTACTTGTTCATAAAGTTTTAAAATCTCTATCTATGTAATTATATCTTATAATGAACCTACAGCTTGGGTTTTCTTTTAAATTAGGTACAAGTATATCTTTTGATACTGCAAATTTACATTTCATAGTAAACATACCTTTTAATTAATGAAGGTAATACCTTCCACTTTTGATATTTCACCGGGTAGAACTTAATGTGAGTGCACTTTTCTAAAGCATCAATTACAGGTAATGTTGGAGTCTCTCAAGGAGTCCACTAATAATACCTTTCTTTAATGCTTTCATTCTGAACCACTTGAAAAATAAGACAAAAGCTAAGATAGAGGGAGGCCAAAATATTAATTTTCTTAGGATAGACTTTATGTTAGGAGACTCGATCGTATTTACCTGTAAGCAAATGCACATGTTGTTGAACTTCAGAATTGGATAGAGTTGTAAGCAGAGTTGGGGTGGGCCACTGTGGACAGCATCTGACTCTATAGGAGCAGCAGGGAAATAAG